GAGACAAGCTTCGCAACGATCACAAACTTTAGAACCTCTTTAAGGAAGTCAAAATCGGCAGTGATGAGCTCAGAATCGACCTTTTCCTGGGTGCTTTGAGGTTTTCAAGATGCGTTATGATTCCACTGGCAGGGGGTGATCGGTCCCCTTACAACCGGTTGCCTAGGTCGAGGCTTGTCGGGAAGAAATTTGGTTACGTTGCCCTTGGCTGTATCGGGCGGACAGATCTCGCTTGTCATAATAGTGAGCGGAGTTTGAAAGGATCGACTCTGTGGTTTGAATTGTAAACAGGAGAATTCGCATTAGGAGTCCACGCAAACGTCACTCAACGGTTGCGCGTTTTAAAAATCTTGTTAATATTGATTGTTCCTCGAGCGCAGATCAGAAGCGGATGAGAAAGCGTGGCTACGGTGTTCAAACAACGAATCCCTCCAAGGCGCCGGGTGCAAACAACTCATCCACCTGCCATTTCTTTTTCGCAAGACCCTTGAAGAGCGGTGAGTTAACATACAAAGTTAAGACGAGCAATTGAAAGACCTGGTTGAATGAGTACTCGAGAAATTTATCAAGAGTACGACGATTTTGGGAAGTAAGACCGTCCTGCCACCATTTATCTTCACCATCGCCACACATGACAGCTTGCGTCTCTTCAACATGGAATTGCAACCACGGCAAGATGTACCTGAATGATTGGATTATCATTTGAGGGAAAATACGCTTCAAATAGATGTCGCCCACCTCAGTGCGCCACGTTCATGAATAGCTGAATATGCATAATCGAAAGCAGCGGCGAAGGCTTTCGTCAGGGAGCGTGCAACCCACGGATGGTCCTTCAATATAGATCGCTTCACCACGATAACATGCTGCGAACGCTGGTTAGGACGGGACGAAGAAAAATTGAACTTGAACCGACCATTATCGGGAATATTCCGGTGTTCTTGAAATATTCTACGCGAAAGAAGTTGGAGAACGAATATCCAGAAGAAACCGCATTACCTTGTTCGACTTGCATGGCGTTAGGGAAAAGACGGCCAACATCCGGGTGTTTTCCAAAGGTAGACGGCGCGGTACTAAGGAATCAGAAGATTGTGTAAGTTGAGTTTTATACCACAACGCGCAAGTAAGGCTCACTGACGCGCTTTGTAACGCGTCTATTTCTCCATCCGCAAGCATCTGGGCCAGACATTTACCCTTGGGGATAGACTGAATCGTTACGCTTTCCCGTAAATTCAGGGGGAGTTTTTCTTTCCGTTCGACTTCGCTAGGTTCTACGTTGCCGGTAAAATAGTGCGGTGCGTCGTACTTGAGTCCATATTCGTCCTCGAGAATTCCACGCTGCCAGACGGGTGCAGTCATCTGAAACTCCGGTGTACCTACACGGCGCCCAGCAAGCTGAGAGGGATGCGTTATGCCCGCCTTTTTGTTAACGTAGATCGATTGATGCCGGAAAAATCGAGAAGGAAAAACAGGAAGCGCGAAGAATGGAGGGTCGTCGTTGTTCAACGTGAGCTGTATCAGAAATAAGCGTGCGAAGCAGCCTAATTTCGACCGAGCGTACAACATACGAGGAGAGGGAAAGTTCACTAATATCGAATTCCTGGTAGCGGAGCTGTCGGAAGAAGCTGAAGCACGTCGAATCAGCGTCGATAGATTCCAAAAAGTCGGAAGGCTCACGTCTCTTCAACTCTAAGTATGAGTATAGGTATGCAGTTCAATAATGATCATCTCATCGCTTGATTAGGATTTACCGCAGGTTCAAGAAATTCAGTTCAATGCCCTCTGGTCTGACACGTCCATCTTCGAGGGCCTTGACGCGGTCGTAGTCCCAGCATGCGAGCGAAAGGTGCAGGGGCATGGTGGGAGGATGCAGAAGCGCGCAGATCTGATCGATCCAGCGGCGTGATCGGGGTCGGCTAACCCCGGGTTTGAATCAAGCCGTCTTGTCGACAACAAACTACTTCCCCTGGAACCGAACTCGCTTGCAACATCGGCAGGCGGCATATAGGGGTGGCTCAGTGTATCCCAGGCATCGCAAAACTGTGCCGACGTGTTGCTACCGGTCAGTTCAAGAGTTTGCCTTCAAGAACGTTGTAGAAGCTTTTGAATAGCGGATGAGAGAATGCGTCCAGATGCGTCGCGTGGCAAGTGACAAGAAGCAGGAAGTGCCAAATAACCGAGGACCGAGGCTCGCTACCGGGACGCTAGCCGGTCATCAGGTTCAATTTGTTTTTCAAGTTATACATAATCCTACCCAGCGACGTGTCTTCGCTTGACAACAGTTGTCGGCCGTATTCGGCACTTCAAACCTTGAAGAAGGCAAGCCATGTCATTTTTAGATTTGTGTTCCCCTTCCCCCTTCCCGCGTTCTCCCCCGCCAAACAATGTCGACCGAGAAGTTTGACATAATCGACGATAAATCCTCTGGACAGGTTGTCGGTCAGAAAGTCGTCGTCTCTGCTGTCGGGGATCCCGAGTCGCGTAAGGCTTCATTTCCGGTTCTTGCGCATTTTTTAAATTCAATCTTTAAGTAGAAGGTGTCCACGTTAGCCTCGGCAGGTCCGACTCAAGCTTGAAGCTCGACAAGACCGGCCTTCCTCTCATTCCTCAGCCCTCAGACGATGCGTCCGATCCTTTGAACTTCCCTCAGTGGTTGAAGGTAGTATCTACTTCATCTGAGATGTCAACATAATCATTTACGCAAGACCAGGTTGCTGTCTTGCTCCAAGTCAGTTTCTTGGCCCTTCTTGGACCCTTAAACCAAGCTACGGTCAATCCCGGTAAAGGCTCTCGCACCTCTCTCAACTTTTCTGTACTCATCAGATATCGGCAGCCTTTGTCCCCCTTGCGGCCCACTTTCATGTATCTACCGTCGTGGCCAGGTGGGTGCCTCATCCAGAGCTTACTCAAAATCTTAATCTTCACGTAGTTATCAAACCACAATCGCGATAGGTAAAGTCTTCAGGAAAAGCTGACCCGCACACAACTCAGCTCGATCCGATAGCTTTCGCTGGCATTGGTTCATTCGTTTGGGTACCCCTTGCAAATACCTACGGTCGTCGTCCAGTCATTCTCTTCACTACTCTCATTGCTGCTGCGTCGTCGCTGGGGTCGGGTAAAGCGCTCACCTGGTCTCAGTTGATTGCGACCCGGGTAGGCTTCATAGAACTCTGTCCTTCCTTCCGCTGACATGATAACAGGTTCTGAATGGGCTTGGTACCTCGTCTTTTTTCACCCTCGGCGCCGGCATGGTTTCTGACTGTTTCTTCCTTCACGAAAGGTAATCATTTCACTTCATAATCCGTCATGATCTGATGAGCCGGTCGTAGAGGTCGCGCCATGGGCATCTTCACAGTTTTCCTGACGAACTCGGCCCATATTGCACCAATCCCAGGTAAGATTTTTTTGTACCTCTCGAGATATGTCCCGACTGTCATTCTAGGTGGTTTCTTGGGACAGTTTGTCAGCTACAGGTAAGCATCGTTTCCCATTCCTTCCAATCCGTTCTAATTTGCATAGGTGGTGCTACTATTTGCCCGCGATACTTGATTGCACGATGTTTGTTATCATGTTTTTCTGCCTGCCGGAGACGCTGTATCTTCGCGGATCCACGCCAGTCGTTACGGACAAGCCGATCCTTCGGAGAATGAAGCTTTGGGGTCTTCGCCCCGCGGGCAAACACCTCAAGGCCTCCGACTTCTTCCGTCAGTTCATCCTGTTCGTTTTTCATATTATATTGCAAATATTGCGGCCTATCTAATGAACGAACTTTTAGGTTCAAGTACCCCACCGTCCTGTTGACCGCTCTTTACTATTCCGTAACCTTTACTCTAAGCTCCATTCTGCCGGCTGTCACGTCTGCGACTCTTTTCCGTCGGCTTTACACGTTCAATGCCTCAGAGACAGGTCTCGCCCTCGGCGTTGGTACTCTCATTGGATCCACACTCGGGGAGTTGCTCGGGGGAATTGTCGTCGACCGTTCTATGTATCTCAGTCGCAAACGTAAAAGGGACGGCGACATTGTCCCTGAAGTCAGGTATGTGGGATCGTGGTTCCGGATCTGTCCTCTGACTTACAGCTTCACAGGCTGCAGGGCATCTGGGCAGGAGCTATCCTTCAACCCGTAAGTGGAACTTGCGATTCTCCTCAACAGCCAAATAATCGTTACTAGATTGGATTGCTGATATGGGGATTCTGTATTCAATACAAAAGTGCGTTTCGGAGTTTTCATTTATTTACACATTGTGTCTGATGTCCGTCGGTGTAGCCCCATACATCGGACCTACTATGGGTTTTGGTATCATGTGCTTTGCCATCCAGTAAGAATAGCTGGTATTGCTCTGTTTTTCAACTAACCGCGCTTCAGGATCATTTCAACCGTGATATATTCGTACAATGCCGACTGCTACAGGCCTCAGACTTCCGAAATCGCCCAAGTCCTGAACTTTGGCCGTCAGACCGTCGGAATGACCAGTACGTTCAGTCCATTATCTGAGCTCATGCCGTTTCCTGACCGGCTCGTTTTTTCTCCTCGCATAGCTGGTTTCTGGGCGATGTGAGTCCCCATAATTTCTCCTCATCCCGACTATCACTAATACTCGAACAGCCCTCTTGGGGATAAGATAGGGTATCAGTGGATGGCTGTAACACTGTCCCTCGTCGGTATTGTGACGCTGCTGCCCGTTGTTTACTTTATGTTCCACGGCAAGACGATTCGGGACAAGATGGGTGCACCGAGCTACAATCGTTCTCTCTGAGGCTATTCTGTCGTTATATCATGTAAATATCATAGGATTCGGCTTTTGTAATTGTGTACTTTGGGGGCCTTTCTGTTTCTTCCACCCCCGGCTCAATTTTTTTTTTTTTTGGAGCGGGAAATTAGGGTCTGCGGTCTGCAAAAATAGAACGAAGAATGATTTGCATTAAAATTTAAAACTGGATCACACGAGAGTTCAATCATGGCACAATCAATAAAAGGTGTAAAAGGTGTAAAAGCAAAATACCGACACGAGCAGGATTTGAACCTGCGCCCGGAAACCGGAACAGATGGCACAAAGACACTTCAACCAATTCTAATCTGTCGCCTTAACCACTCGGCCATCGCGCCCTCTTCAACGTTGAAGATTGTGCCGCCCAGACGGAGTGGATGATAGTGAAATTTCTCTCAGTCGTTTTCCAAGGTCGACTGAATACACGAAGACACCAAATTCTTGCTCGATTCCACCTTCACATGCGCGATCGAGTACACTTTCCTGTTTTGGTTGCTAGCGGTTGTTTGTTTGTCCCGCAAAGTTCTTGAGGCACCGCCACGCAAAAGTGTTTCAAATCACAGTTCACTAGCACGTGATGTTGTGAGGCCTTGCATGCCACTGACACCGCCGTTAGCGGTGGAAGTTCGCTTTTTCGCTTCCAGCGAACAGTGCTCCTACTTGCCCGCAGGGATTTCCAAAATTTATCAAACTTGCAACTCGCCGCTGCCTTCTGGGTGCTCCAAGGTCCTTATCCGCCCACCTCCAACAGGACTCTCCCGCTGCTATCTGAGCTTTCGGAACCCCCAATCTCTGTCTACGACGGGTCCCACGATGCCGTTCAGGAGCGCCTCTCCAATGTTTCCGACGCATTACTGTCCACCGGCCTCTTTGCGTTCCGAAGGGAGTTCACCTTCGCTCCGACCTGACGACCTGATGAGCGTGGACACCGAAGGCGACTCTTCAGATGCAGGAGCTTCATCTATCGATCTACTGCTCGAGGCGCGTGTCCTTCCTGGGCGAGGGAGGCAACTATTTGCGGCGATTCCATCTCTCTCTTTCGCTGACAGTGACAACTTTATGGACCTCATGAGTAGTGTGGCGTGCCAGCGATATGTGTGGTGAATCCTGTGCCAGCGATATGTATGGTGGATCCCAGAACCTGCGCTAGGCTTCGTGCTCTTGGCCACCGGCGTCCTCACGAACTGCCGTCTCATGGGTCGATCTTGCCACAGTTAGTTGGAACGATCTTCTGATGCCGTTGGTTCTGTTCTGACTTTTTTTAGCATGTCGTTCACATTGCATGTCCTGTGGCGTTTTCGATTTCACAGATCCCACGTCCGCCCTGCGATTCTCACAGCTGATTTTGGAACTGTCGCCACACTTTGCCTTCGCTACTGAGCCCGTTTTCCAGAATAATAAGTTCGATTGGCACTTGGATAACGCGGAAATTTCATCGGGAAATTTCAGAAACTGGCGAGACCGCGTGGCACAGTGGGTCCCCGATGTCCAGATGTGAGGTTACGAAGTCGTCTTTCTATTCGTGATTGATTATCCCCGCAGATGTCGGGAAAAGTCCCCATTTTCTTGCCCGCCTACTCCCCTCCCAGCCCACCGGCCAGAGAGTGCGACAGAGACAGATCTACAACGACAAGGTACCTTGTTCCTCGTTAGCATGGTTTGAAATGACGGAAGCCTTGCAAGTGCGACGCCCTCAGATCCCACGGAACCCGAGCACCCCAAATCTTCTAGGTCTAGTTCTGAGTATGTCAATTCCATCGAAGGTTGAACGACGCTCACCACTCTCCAGCTTCACTGGGTCATCCGCCCGGAGCTCACCTAGAACCGAGAGCGCCGCCACGGTGGCCTGGCTTCTCGATCGCGCCATCTTGTTAGCTAATTGGATTCCTTTCAACGTATTCAAAGCATCTCTAGGGGAAGAAGCCATAGAATTCAACGACAGACTCGTTTTATACGACGAAATGTGCCACGTCTGGCCCTTGTCATGGGATGCGGTATGTTGTAATCAATGCAGTAGTCGGATACTGCTGACAGTTCCCAGGAATCTGTTCACGTCGACGCTTCTTTGTCCCGACTGAAAAAGCTTGCTGTTTCAGCAAGCGAGGGAGAATCAACTGCCTAAAAACTCTGTTTCAACACTCGAACACCAACAACGGCTTCAAGAGCGCCTGTGCGCAATATTTTACGCCTCGGCGGGATCAAGCTACATGGTGCGACGGGGAATCAAGGTGAAGGAGCAGGACTATAGATATGACTGGGATACTCTTTTATATCATTTCTACGCCCAGAGTAGGGAGGATGTTTCACCGTATGTTTTGTAAGTGCTCGACATCGGTGTGTTGAAATAACTGACTCCTTCAAAGACTCGAACAGACGACTCATTTTGCGAGAAACGAGCTCGTAGACCAGCCCGACCCTCAATCACTCGTCACAGTTCACCGGAAACAGCTTCGAAGGAACCGATCTCTCGGTTCCCATGCCTTCGATGCTGCCCATGCTTTGCACCCACACTCATCACTTTCTCAGCGAGCTCTCATTACGTCGACTGAGGCGAACAATCTTTTGATCGAGCTCAGTCCTATGCTAACTGACAGTCCAGATGGAGTGAAAAATTTTGTCCAACCAGGAACCTCGCGACGGAAAATGTGATGCGCTGCTCTTTGGCGTTATCGACGGGCAATCGTTCGACGGCGCCGAATTCCTTGTTTTGCCGCAAATATTGCAATCCGACGGCTTCGATGAATCATTGTGGAAAAATCACGTACGCACTGCCGAAAGGGCTGCAACTCTGGCGGCCCAATCAGGACCGGAATATTCCTTTGCCGGCCATCTACTGCTCCCCCACTTCGTAGCAAAATACCAGAAACCCTCCCACGACGAGGGCCAAGCGCTAATCCAGGATTGAATATACCTGGCGTCGGTAGTGGCATTCTACTCTGCTCTCGGCATCGACGACTATCCGTTACGGCCTTATAGCGCGTGGAAAGGTGAGATCCCTCATCATGGCCTAGAAATTGTCCACCCACACAGTCAATCGTCCGACTTCGTGAAGCCCGCTAGTCTTTGCTAATGAGCTTGCAGCAAACCTACCTCGTTGAGCACAACGTCTGCAAATTCGCGGAGAATGCGCAGGATCACACCCGACCGACAAACTGGTTGAGTAGCTTGATGTCTAGAACGGGTGTTCATTTTTATTTTGCTTTAATACACAGAGCGGGTTTTTTCGGTGAATTTTCCAATGTTGTACGTTTCTTCAGCAACGGGCGCTTGGAGATGAGGAATGAGAAGTACCAGCAATACGCCGTGATCTAACAGGCTGCTGCGACCACAACCGCGTTCCAGTGGCGACATCAGAACACCATTTCCACAGGCAACGGCTGTACAAACAGGGCCAGGCCGGAAACGCAAAGTTTAACACACGCTTGGCGAAGCTACAGGACCCGAACTTCCGGCCTGGAGTAGGGGGCTTTGAGGGGCCTGTGTCGTTCAGTAGGGACGAGGAGTGGGTTTGGAACGTGCTTTACGATCTCAGCGTTTAGAAGGACGCGACGATGCGGTAATTCCTTCAATGGGCGGGGTTGTTAGGGAAAGAGATTGTACTTTTACGTGTACTTTTGACTGGTACCAAAAATGAATGGCTGACAAAGAATCGTGGAAGCGTAACAACCCAACTTGCGCGAAATTTGTGCCTTCTCTTGTACTTTAACTCGCAACTTTTCTTGTTCGAATCTATTCCAACTTCCGATCTGAGTCCAAATTGTCACAGTTCCTGGCAAATAAGTCAAAATGCATATTGCCCTTCACAACGAACCACAAGAAGTAAATCGAGGCATGGGAAGAATCAGGTTGGTGTCAATGCTAGAGAATTGAAACACAACTGCTCGGCGACAACCGATTTTATTTGGCCCACATGCAGACTATTTATCTTTCCGGGAGATCCAGCGGTGTAAGTACAATACCATTGAATTGTGGGATAGACAGTTTACCAATAAGAAAGCAAGCCGACTCGCTCTCTACACCTGCATTGGGCAATTTGCTCGCGCGGTTGATTTCTGGTGCGCCAATTATAAACCAGGGATCTAAAGATCACAATGCATTACGACTCTCATATAAAGCGGCAAATATTATCCACGTGTGCCACAGGAAGATCCAAATGCGAACACAATCTACTGAAACAAAGGCCAACATAAGACGCAAGACGTATTGAACGACTCGGCACTCACTTTTATTCAAGGTTGTATAATACAAAACTCTTGTCATCGGCCGTCAACACGATACTTCTATTCATGGTGTTGAAGGGACCCAAGGGACGCCGCGAAGGACTGGCAGTCACAGGCGCCTAAGATCAATACATGTGTAAGCAGTGGCGCGAAAAACATGAGCGCAAGCGAATGCGTACCCGGGAGACGGTGAGCTGAAGATTGCGTCAGAGCAAACACGAGATATTCATAAAAGAGAATAAGTACCTGGAGCTCCGGTGCCGAGACCTCCTGATTGGGGATGTCGTTCTGCGTGTCGGCCGCGCCACTAGCCGTCGCCGACAGGCTGACTGGAAGGAATGGAGTTGGGAGGAGGGGAAGCAAGGGCTATTTGATGAGACAATGTAGAGATTAAAATGAGCGGGAATAGGTACCGAAAAGATTATAAACTAGAGATCGCGTCAGAAAAGATGCATAAATTCATAAAAAGGGATATGTCCGTACTTGCGATTCTGCGCCACCGGAGCCTGGGGTAAGAGGATCTTCGGCTTGCGAGCTGCTCGCCCTGCTGGCGTCCGGCGACTCGGGAACAGACGTAGTCAAGAAGGTCAAAGATTCCTGCAAAGACGTGATCGTGAAAATATGCCCAATGAATTGTTCCGAGCAACGCACCGTCGGGCCTGTGACCCCGCCCAGTTCTGCATCAAGTTCACTCCATGACAGCTTGCCTGGCCCGAATGGGTTCTCCTAAAGACCAAGTTCAACTTCAGGCGGCTTGAGGCGGCAAAAAAAAAACCGAACGTTGACGAGAAGGTCATATTCCTATTTCATGTTCAAGTCATTGAATGTCGAGACGGGGAAAGGAAAAAGCGTACGATAGTGTTAGCGGAGCCCTCAAGTGCCGGGTCAACTGTAGATTGTTGGATCCTTCGGAGGTTCTGTAGGACGAGAACATCTGCAGGGTAGCCAAATGAGCAATAGTAAGAATAGATAATGTATCGCACCGTCGAGAAGCCAATGGGTTATGTTCGCTTTCTTGCGTGGGGGGGGGCGGAGCACGCCAGCTGTAGCTCGTGTCAGTATTTCAACAACGAGAGGACCAAGCGAACGCACTTGGCAACGTAGGCAGCCCCGGCGGCTTTAACGAGCGGCGCAAACAGGGTTTGCAACCATAGAGTGAGCTGGCTTGTGTTTTTGCCCGATTTGAACCACACCATGCCGAGAAAAGTCAAGAACCCCAACTCGACTTTTGAGATCTTGTTGTCGGCGATACGGTGATCCACTTTGGTGAAAAGGGCCTTGAGGATTTTGGATGAATTCAAAGATGCCTTCGCAACCTGATCATGAGCGTGTCAGTTGATTATGAACTACGATGGCTGGCGTGACCGGGCACCTTGGCGAATCCAGGGGGTTTTCCCGGGAACTCGGCGACGAGCACAAGGAATACCGTAAAGTCGAATATGCCGACCCCATACGCTGAATATAATTCGCGCGCTCCCGCTGAGTCGGTGCCCGTCGCAGGCTTGTCCCCGTCGTCCGTAAGCGATACCCAATCCGACTCAGACAGATGAGGAAATGGTTGCAGGTCTTGGATGAAATTGACAGCGTCCAGAACCGCATCTTCGATGGCTTTTTGCGAGACTGGCTTCGTGAGCTGGTTTGGTTCTGGTCAACCTGGCGAGATGGTGCCCAACCAGGCAAACATTGATGATTGCACCGCCATCCGAGTCGACGCGTCATGACAACTTTAAGAAGCATTACTACATGTAAAAGCTTCCATATGACCAAGAACGAATCAGGGCTCGCCGAGACTCGCTTTATGAAAGAAGATGCTGTCGTTCATCGCCAGTGCTCAAACATTGCAGTCACCTGGGCTAGGGCTATCTCAACACACTTAGCCATATTATTGTAATCCCAACGTTCGATATCGCACTGGGCCATATGCACTAAAAATACGATGATCTCTGTGTCCACTATGGGTCAGTGGTTAACGCGCCTGCTAAAGTTTAATTATCGAGGCAGGAGGTTGGGGTTCGATTCCTCCAGGTGGCACAAGGGAGCCGGGTGCGGGGTTGCGCGTTTAGCCCCTAGTCGAATAAGTGAGCATCCGCGACGAAACTATAGTGTATGCTTCTCTCGGTACAGAGGCTGGGTTTCAACTTTTTGTTTACCTTTCATCGTAAGAAGTGTTTTCCCACAGGACAGGACGCTCGCCTTATCAACCTAGTGAAGTTAACGTTGAGTCCATAAATACAAACGAATTAAACTCTTGACTAGTCTGCGGAACGGCAATCTTTTTCTACACAGAGTGCTTACGCTAAGAATTGTTTTACCTTGGCAGACTGGTTAAAAGTCTACAAACGAATGCTTATCTTGAAGACCGAAGGATTTAATCTCAGGCTAGTCACCTAGAAGCTTACAGGACTGCACTCGGAGTAGGTTGCTCTCAAAATAAATATAGAGAAAATAGTAGAAATTAAAGACTAAACTCGGAAAGCTCAACACAACCCGACGATCCCGGATACTCTCGAGAATAAACGGCGGCCTATATACAGATTGAGACTCGCCTTAAAAAAAGCAGAACAATCGGGTCACGCAGAGGTTTACAACGGCGTATGCCATTACTGTACTTAAGTCCCCCGAAAGCCTGGTGCACGAGGTTTCATACCTTCAAATTCAAGAAATTCATAGGGTTTGATTTCTAATTTCTGCAGCACTTACTGTAAATGTAAAATCCTCTTTTCAAAGTTGGATCACTAAAAACTCACTTAAATGGCCTCAAACACAGGATGTTGGTAGTTTTTGAGCTATGGAATCAGACCCGGAACATTAATCTGAATTGCATGCGTCCTTGGACAAGAATGATCCACCAGAGTGGTCGAGCTTCGGCTTTCGTTCTTATACGGAAGAACTTCGCATTACGTGGCCTCGTATTCAGAGAACGATAAATAATGCTATAGTATCAGAGACCAAGAAACACCCAGAAAGCATGCTTACTTTTGGTTCGCCCGTTCATCGACACCATGACGGTCTGCGTCACGAATTTCTTCGCAGCGGGCGCGAAGGTGAGCCAGCAGGGCCTCACCGCGTTCGTGTTGAGGTTTATTCTGAGCTTCTGGTCTGAGCATCATTCGCTCTGAATCTTGAGCTAAGCGCCCAGTGACGCTTTACGGCTGCAAACTAAAAACACAGTAAATTGGCTGAGGAGGTAGTTCAACTTTTAGCGAACTTGGGATTTTGCCTCGCCAATGACACAACATTTACCGCTGCTGAAATTTCAATTGCGGTCAAATTTTTCCATTCAAAACACGCTAATCCACAAATATTCGATGTTGGACCCACGACGCTGATCATCTGGCCAGAACTGCGATGGTGGCGGAATCCCGCGGTCTGGGACCGATGTATCCGCCACGGTACCAAAGCTAACCAACATCCACAAAAAGATAAGGACTATGAGAACCAGCTGTTGTTCGGGCCGATACTAAGTACCCTCGAATAACCGGAGACGCGAAGTCAAACCCCACAGCTACACGCCATTGAAACTCGCGGTCTGCGTATGCACCCACACCCGTTTGTTTTGTTGGCAAATCATGGCTTGCCGAAGAAACTCAACTCGAGGCCTTCGAAGCTGGAATACTTTCATCAGTGTCGGAATATCACTGTTCCCGTTGACGAATCTCCCGATGAAGGTGTCGTTCGAAGCCAGCCGCTTTCGTTAGGCACTCCGAGGTGATGAAGGACATTGTAGTCATGGCGCGCCTACGATACAGAATCGGATGAATGGACAGACCTACCCGCTTGACAAGAAGGTATCCGAAGATTAATCAAGATATGCCAGAACTCCGCTCGTTCAGAGCAAACAGAGATTCGGGGAGGCCGAAGAAAATAAGCGCGTTTTGAGACACCGCGCGCAGATATTGACCGAGGCTGCCTCACATTCACGAATCCTGTGCCGATGCAACAATAAATCTTCAACTGCGGGAGGATTGAAACGGACCAAGTCGCCACGACTGGCGCGTGGAATTGTAAGTCTCTTATAGCGGACCAAGAGGTTAACTCGGAACTGAGGAGTTCTTGACTTGGTGCGCATGGTTGACAATTTGGCGTTTGGAAGAAGTGACTCTCACGAGTGCAAGTGAATACTATGACGGGCGTCTGCGGGGGAAAAAAATCTTGACTTAATGCAGGGTTGACAACCTCGGAAGACCTATCCGGAGTGTGAGTTTTGAAGCAATTCCCCTGCAAAAGGTTAGATTATATTATGCAGGAAACTGAGTCTACTTAGACTCACGATAGGGTTCCGGTTTCTCGTGGGGGATTCGCAAGAGGTTAGGTTATATGATGCAGGAAAGGGAGTGCCATACCACATTTACACCGGATAGAGCTCCAGTTTCTCGTTTGTTTGAACCCATCTTGATTCTTGAATGATCCTCGACACCCTTGAAAGAACCTGCACCTCCGACATTCCACAGAATTAAAACATTGCATAACGAGATAAATACCACTAATAATAACGAGACTTTACTCAAAACGTGAACGGTACACTTTTACACTTCCTCGAACTCAGTGTCCAGTGTCACTGAAATAACAACGGCAGAAAGGCATCGGGTGCGCGCGAACTTAGAGCTTCGCCTGGGGCTTGAGGTACTTGCTCCCGCGCTGCAGCTGGGCGGACGCGTCGCGGACCATGTTGTCGACGATGACCTTGGCGGGGAGGACTTCGTTGATGAGCTGGTGGGGGAAATTACATGAGATTCGCTTATGTCGGAGGGCGGAAGGAAGGTGGAGAGGGGGAGAGAGACTCACAGCGGAAACGCGGCCCATAAGCCACGGGCGGCCCTCGACGGACTTTTCGGGGTGCTTCTCAAGCTCGGCCTCGTGCGGGAGGATGCCCTTGCTGGTCAGCGCCTTGATCTCGTCCTGGCGGTTGAGGTTCCTGCAGTCCAGCGAGCAATGAACAGTGTAGGAAAGTAAGAGTAAGAAATACGCACCAGTCCTCGATGTACGGCGACCGCCGGACGCGCAGCGGGCGCCCGGTGAAGATCAGTGTCGTGATGGCGTCCTCATACCCAGCACTGAGGATAAGCTCCTTGTGCTTCGGCGGTGCGCTCGCCTCCTCTGACGCTACGAATCGCGTGCCCACCCCTGCCAAAGGAAACGCGAAAACGCAAACACAAAATTAGCGTGAGTACGGAAGGTCAGTCACACGACCACGCACAGACAGCCTCGGCACCCCACATGAGGTTCGCGGCGAGCCCCCGCCCATCGTATACGGCGCCGGCACCGACGACGTACACAGGTTGGCCGGTGAGCGGCGACTTGTGGCCCTTGACGGCGTCGACGCAGGCGGGGATGAGAATGCTCGCGGGGACGTCGCCTGTGTGTCCTCCTCCCTCGCCTGCCTGCGCGCAGATGAGGTCCACGCCCGCCTCGAGCGCCTTGGGGACATGCTTCGGGTGGCCCACCATGTTCATGATCTAACGACATATCAGTCGGGTACAGATCATTATTTTTGAATGGACGCTGTGCTCACGGGAATGCCGGCCTGATGCAGCCTGTCGACGGTATCCTTGGGCGGGATGCCGATAGCGCATACGAACAGGGAGGTCTTCTCCTCGATGATGACTTCAATGAGCTCGGCGAGTTTCCCCTTAGTGTAATCGTACTTTGGAAATAAACGTGGGGTCAGAATGGATATCTAAACAATTTCGGGGGCGCTCACATTCGTCTTCCGTGCGTTCCCTCCGACCTGGGGAATCAAAAGGTCGACACCAAAGGGCAGGGATTTGTCGGTCAGCGCGTCTTTGACCGCACGGATCTGGTCGGATTGTTGTCAGTGCGCCGCCAATTACGTGGTATATCTCCTGCAGACGCATACTTGTTGACGAAGGATCTTTGGGGTGTATCCGAGACCACCAATAACGCCCAGTCCACCTGCAGGTCCAATTCAGCCGTAATTTCAAGAGCTGTCGGTGTTAGGTGAACCCACCGGCATTGCTGACCGCCGCGGCGAGCTCTGGGCCCGCTGCAATGTTCATGCCGGCGAGCATGATGGGGTGCTTCATGCCAAAGAGCTCAGTTACGGGGGTGGATATTATAGACATGGTCGGTGAGAGGATTCAAAAAGTGCGTGACGTATGACATCTTATATATGCTCGCACAGTTTCAGGTGATTGTGATTGTAGAGCGAAGATGCCGGCGATCTTCATAACCGGTTCTGTAAGCACTAGCTCAAGTAGCCGGTCCTCCTCAACGCCCTCCTTGATCGCGGAAAAGCCGGACTCTCCGAGTCTGAGAAATAAATACACTGTCACTGTGGAATATACAATGCGAATGAATGTGTATGCAAAACAGAAATGCAGAAGGGAATGGATGCGATTAGGTATCAGGGCCGTACGGTACGAGAGGAGGTATACTCAAAGTCAAGGCGGCGCGTCCCCGTCCCCGGGTCCGTCTTCATCGTCTCTTGGCAGCCGCCGCACATTCTGCATCAGCCTTCTCAGTCTTGCTAGTTCGGCTGCCAATTCCCTGCAAACGCAAACGAGTAAGCACAAAGCAGGAGTGGCGCGAGATAGGAATCGACTCCCCTGGCAGTATTTCCGGCCTCCTCACTCTCCTTGCCGCTCCTGTCAACCTCCTCCTTGAGCCGCTGGATCTCCTCCTGCCACCCCTTCTCAAGCTCGCGCGTCGCCGCCTGGTCCGCCTCGCGCGCAGCCTTGATCTCCGCTCTTCCCTCCCCAGCGTTCTTTATCTCCTCAAGCAGCAGCCGATACTTTTTGCCCACGGTTTCCGCCTCCTTCCGCCACTTGTCCTCGCGCTTCGTCATCTCCTCCCGCAGCCGCTCCGTGTCGCTCTTGAAGCCCTCGACGAGCCCTTTCAAGCTGTCCCGCAGCGTGATGTACTCGCGCTCCGACTTTTGCGACAGCGCAGTCGATTCGACGAGCGCCGTCTCCATCTCGCGGATCGTCTTTTTCGACGTGCTCGTCTCCGACTTGAGTTGCGTCTTGAGCGTGGCCGCCTCGGCCTCGGCCTTGCGCGCGCGCTCGAGCACC